TATTAACTCCAAATGGATCAGGCCTAAATGTTAAAACTTAAAACGATAACATTCTTAGACAACAGCGTAGGAGTAAGCTTTTGTGACCTTTATATGACACCAAAGTCTCAAGCAACAAAAGAAAAAAAAAAAGGATAAGTTGGACTTCATCAAAATTTGAAACTTCTGTATTAAAAGGACATCATCAGGATGGTGAAAAGACAACCCACGAAATGGAGGAAAATATTTGCAAGTCATACATCAGACAACACAACTCAATAATAAAAATACAACCCAATTAAGAAATGAGCAAAGAAGCTGAATAAACATTTCCCCAAGGACATATACAACTAGCCAACAAGCAAGTCAAGAGATTCTCATCGTCATTACCCAGTAGAGAAATACAAATCAAAATCACAACGAGATGCCACTTCACACCCACTAAGATGGCTTTTATTAAAAAACATAAATGTGGACTAGGAGGTGGAGAAATTGGAACCCTCAAACATTGCTGATGGAAATGTAAAATGTGACCACTTGGAAAACAGTTCCTCAAACGATTAAACAGAGTTACCGTATGACCCAGCAATTTCACCTTAGTATATGCCCCAAAGAAATGAAAATGTGTGTTCAAAAAGTGCATAATTTTCCATGTCAGCATTCTTCATAATAGCCAAAAAGTGGAAACCACTTAAATGTCCATTGACTATAAACAAAGTCTAGGGTATCCATACAATGGAATAAAATTTGTCCGTAAAAAAAAAAAAAAAAAAACAACAATAAATACTACAGCATGGATGATGAACCTTGAAAACATGCTGAGTGAAAGAAGCCATTCATAAAAGGCCACATGTTACATGATTCTATTTATAAAAAACATCAAAAATTTTCCATATTTCCAGAATATGCAAATCCATAGAGATGGAAAGTAGATTAGTGGTTTCCAAGGGTTAGAAGGAGGAAGAAACAGAGTGACTTAATGGATCTGGCATTTCTTTCTAGGATGATGAAAATTTTCTAGAATTAGATGGTAGTGATCAGTACACAACTTTGTGAATAAGCTAAAAACCATGATACTGTACACTTTAAAAGGATTAGTTTTATGATAATGGAGTTATGTATCAAGTGTTATTTTAAAAATCTTTACACAAATAAACATATACCCATTTAAGTCTATAGTAATATCTTTTAAATTGTTACTTTTTTTTTTTTAATGTTTATTTATTTTGGGGGAGAGAGGGAGAGAATCCCAAGCAGGCTCCATGCTGTGAGTGTGGAGCCTGATGCAGGGCTCATTCTCACAAATCACGAGATCATGACCTGAGCTGAACCAAGAGTTGGATGCTTAACTGTTGGTCTCAGCTAAGGTCATGATTTCACGGTTTGTGAGTCTGAGCCCTGAGTCAGGCTCTGCACTGACAGTGTGGAATCTGCTTGGGACTATCTCTCCCTCCTTCTGCCCTTCCCTAGCTTGCTCTATCTTTCTCTCTTTCTCAAAAATAAATAAATAGGGGCGGCCTGGGTGGCTCAGTCAGTTAAGCATCCAACTTTGGCTCAGGTCATGATCTCGTAGGTCGTGGGTTGAAGCCACGTGCCAGGTTCTATGCTGACAGCTCAGAGCATGGAGGCTGTTTTGGATTCTGTGTCTCGCTCTCTCTCTGCCTCTCCCCCGCTTGTGCTCTCTCTCTTTCTCTGTCTCTTTCTCTCTCAAAAATAAATACACATTAAAAAAATTTTAAAGATTTTTAAACATAATAATAAACTTTTTAAAGTTTTTTTAACGTAAGAGAAAAAAATAAATCGTGGTTCTAGTCAGCTTTGGGGAAAAAAAAAACGTATTTTACTCCTATTCCCTCTCTTGCCTCCCCCTTATTGCTCCAACTCTGAAGCTACAAAGACATCCAAGTAGGAGTTTGGAGCTACAAAGGTACAGACAGACTGTCTACTAACAAATAGATCTTAAAAACTACTTGAACTTTCCTATGAGCTTTTATCCACAAAGCTGTGAGGGAACATTTTGGTTGCATTAAAGACAAGTTTTAGGCATTACTTTTTTTGTCACCCAGAGCATCACAGAGTGCCAGGATACTAGTAAATTTATCACTGATGTCTTTCCAACTTTCTTTTCTGTTCCATTGTACTTCATAGTGCTCCCCTTTTTCCATGTTCTAGGACCCTAGGGGTCTTCTGATTCTGAATCCTATCAGCCCTGGTCTCTCTTGTACTGTGACCCCCATACTCAGAATCACTCCCCTTTCTTCTCTCACTCATCAAAAGTATTTCTGGCTTTTTCTGCTTTGAATTCTGATTTATTTATGGGGCACCTGGGTGGCTCAGTCGGTTAAGCGTCTGACTTCAGCTCAGGTCATGATCTCACAGTTCATGAGTTCGAGCCCCGCGTCAGGCTCTGTGCTGACATCTCGGATCTTGGAGCCTGCTTCGGATTCTGTGTCTCCCTCTCTCTTTGCCCCTCCACTGCTCATGCTCTGTCTCTCAAAAATAAATAAAAACACTAAAAAAAAAAAAAAAAAAAAAAAAAAAAGAAAGAATTCTGATTGATTATGATTGATTTAAAAATTTCATGTTAAGGGGCGCCTGGGTGGCGCAGTCGGTTAAGCGTCCGACTTCAGCCAGGTCATGATCTCGTGGTCCGTGAGTTCGAGCCCCGCGTCAGGCTCTGGGCTGATGGCTGGGAGCCTGGAGCCTGTTTCCGATTCTGTGTCTCCCTCTCTCTGACCCTCCCCCGTTCATGCTCTGTCTCTCTCTGTCCCAAAAAATAAATAAATTAAAAAAAAAATTCATGTTAAGGCTAAAGGTGAAAATGGCTAACCAAAACTAAATTTTTAGGCATACATTTGTTTTAGGAATGAATGTATTTTCTAGTTTTGTTAACTGAGAAGGCATGGAAACAATGACAAACCCAGTAATACTTCCTCTTTAAAAACCATAGCACCCTGAAGGAATGTCTGATTCTAAATCAGAGACAGGAAGCATTCAAAACAAATCTGGAGCATCATGTCCGAAAGTAGGGAAGCTATCAATGATTACTGAGCACATGTTGAAAGTACTCAGGAGCCAATTTGGAAGGGTCCCTAGTGGCTAAAAATGGGAATATCTGAGCATCAAAAAGAAAAATGACTGAAATGGGCTGGAGTACATAATGTGTTAAAATGCAAGCGTTCCTTATGTTATTTTTAAACAAAAGGTCGCCTGTGGAGGCTGCAAGGAAAACAGTTCATCAATTTGAAACTGGCAAATGGAAAGAATCAAGCATTCATTCCACATTTCCTGTGGACTTTTACCTTAGAATAATCCAGTAATTCATGTAGAATATGACCGTTTTATATTCTATAATGAAACAATAGATCTAGGTAACAATCATCAATGTCTGATAAAAACATTAAATGAAAGATTGATGGAGAACTTTATAAGGGATGAGTCAGACTGATAGCATCTACTGATAAATCTTAACAAAATAAAATTGATATATGCCTCTTGATAAGATACAGTAGGAAGAACACAGTACCACCTATGGCATATTATTCCTAAAAATTCTAACTTAAATCTGATGAAGCCTCAAAAATCTGTTTACGAGGAAAAAGAATTAGAAGAATATGCTAAACAACACCATGGGGATACAATCAACAAAATCTGAAATGAGGGAAATTCTATAGAATTAATGATGTAGTTTCTTCCACAAATGATAAGGCAGGGGACCTATACAGGACACATCAACCATATTCAATGTACACTTATTTAGAATAAATCAACTATTAAAAAAATGAGCCCATTGGGGAAATATAATATTTGATCATAATATGCTAAGATCAAGGAAATATTTTTTAGTTGAGCTAATGGTATTCTGGATAATGATTTTGAAAAGTTGCTATTGTGAGATACATACTGAAGTATTCATAGGTGAACTAATAGGATGTTTAGGATTTGCTCTAAAATAATTCAGTAGGAAGTAGGGACGGGTGTTCAGATGAAACTATTTATTGGCCATGTGTTGATAATTGTTGACACTGGGTGGTGAGTGCATGGAGATTTATAGTACTGATCTCTAAGTGTGCTTAGAATTTAGATTTTAAAATTAGCTATATATATAATATAGCTTTATACATTTTTTAATATAGAGTTTAAAAACTTCACACAATTACTATACCTGAAGTTGATTTCCAGTTGGGGAATTATGGCTTAGGCAAAACAAGGCTTTCTAGAGCCCCTTGCTGGCCATTGCAGCCCCCTACCCAGAGTATACCAGAGTCGTATTGGCAATTTGGCAACTTGGTTTATCACTTGTGAGAGGTTCTAATCTTTACCTAAATAACTCAGTGCTGTAATATGTAATATTTCCATCAGGAGCATTGTTATGACAAAATATGTGTGAGAAATACTTTTATAAACAGCTGATAAAATGTTTATATTACAAATTGCTAATTTCCTGATGAGCAAAACATGTATATTTTAAAACAGCACCAAGGATCACACTTTAAATATATGTATCTTATATATACATATATATATATATACACACACATATATATACATGTATATATATACATACATATCATATATGTATGTATATATATACATGTATATATATGTGTGTGTATATATATATATGTATATGTATATATATATATGTATATGTATATATATATGTATGAGCCTGGGTGGCTCAGTCAGTTAAGCATCCGATTTCGGCTCAGGTCATGATCTCACGGTTTGTGAGTTCAAACCCCACATCAGGCTCTGTGCTGACAGCTCAGAGCCTTGAGCCTGCTTGGCATTCTTGCCTCCCTCTCTGCCCCTCCCCCACTCACACTTTTTCTCTCTCTCTCTCTCAAAAGTAAATAAACATTAAAAAAATTAAATATATGTATCTTACATGCACAGTAGTATATTCACTTTTTAAATGAGTTAATTTTTATAAATGAAATATAAACCTTGTAGGTATTTCCTATTTTGAGACACCATTAGATTGTCTTTCTCTGAAACATTTTCCTGTCTTTTTCTAGGAAGCTATTTTAGGTTATTTGAAAGAGATGCTTCCTCATCTCTAAGACTTACCAGAAACTCTGATTTGAAGAGAATAAATGGATTTTGCACCAAACCACAAGAAAGTCCAAAAGCTCCACCCTGTAAGTATGTATTTGTTTTTCCAGTTATAGAAGCTCCTGATGAATGGAACAACTTGGAATCAAAACAACCTAAAAGACAAGTCATCGCAGGGTTGTCATACCCTGTCCTATAGTTGAGGCCTCCCAAATTGTACTGTTATAGGCTCACATGTAGCAATGCTTTCTTCCTTTTCCTCACTTGTCACTTTCATCTCTTATTTCCAGGATTAGATTGGAGCTTTTTGTTGGAGAATGGATGCACCAAAGTAAATAGTGATCTAGAAGTTATCTTTTAGGAACCCCAAAGATGAACCACATTAGGAAATGATGTTTAGGATACAATATAACTAGCACCAGCCTCTGGCTTGGGCATTAATTTCAGCCATCAGTACTCCTATTCTTAACTCAAACCCCTGTCACTGTCACTACTGTGGAAACAAGGAGCATAATATATAAACTGTAGGGTCCCACAAGCTATTTGCTTGTTCCTTCTTCATGGGTGTACGCTCAGGTCAGGCAGGTCTTGGTGAATGGAAAAGAACTATCTTCAAAGAATAGTTATCAGGAGCTTAAAAATGTTTATATCCTTCAACCTGGTGTTTCACTTCTGGGTATCTATCCTCAGGAATAACCCCAAATGTGGAAAATCTCTGAGTGTAAAGATGTTCCCATTTTTATAATAGGAAAATGAGAACTAAATCTAAATGTCAAATAATCTGGGAATGATTAATTATGTATGTTAGGTGTACTTGATGAGATTGTACAGCTGTTGGAAATGGTGCTTGTAAATACCATGTACTGGCATGGAAAATGTTTGTCATTATGTCCATGAACAAATAGGATACAAAATTTTATATCGTGTTTAAGCACATCATGATATACATATAAATGACACATACACACACAGGGATAAGACTTAGGAAACACTACCAAAGTAAAAATATAGTGATTATGCTACAACAGGAGAATTAGGGATAGTTTTTATCTTCTACTTTTATATCTATACTTTCCAAATTATCTTTAATGTACTTACAATGGAAAGAAAGCAAAAAAACAACTATAGAGTTGTGCCAAGTGCTGGGAGAGTTAAAAAATAAAACTACAGCAATGCCATTTCTATACTTCTAAACCTCTTTTCTCACCTTTGGTTCTTTATGGATTTTTTTTCCTAGTGACTTCCCAATTCCCTTTGCTGTTGCCTTCTGGTTAAGTGAGAGAGGCATAGCATGACGATGTGGCAGTGGGAAGGAGTATGAAGGAGTAGGTAACAGTCAAGGAGATGGTCTGTCTGTGAGAGATGTAGGCAGCACGTGGAAGTTAAATGAGATTATCTCTGAAGGTCCCTTCTAACCCTAACATTTTGTGATTCCCTAACTTTTTCTGCTCCTTATCTTCAATGACTTCTCCTTTTATTTTATTTATTTATTTTTTTGAAAGACTTTCTCTTACAGTCTGTGGTTGTGTGCCTTTCTTGTTCATCCGCCTACTTGGCCACTTCATTTTCGTCTGCTGCCTCTTTCTCCTGGACAGTCTCTTGGGTCTTAATCATCTTCACTGGCTCTCCCTTTGCACTGATGATTATCTCTGCTTTTGACTTAATTCATGAAACCTATTCAGATGTAAATTTAGACCCAATAGGTAGATATAAAATGGTATCCATGCTTTTTCCTCTCCTAACTGGTTCTTTTCAGTCTCCTGATTTTGGTTAACAGTACTACTGTTGTCTTGCTCATTCACATTTGAGGCTATTTGATTCCTTCCTTGTCTTAATCAGTCTCCAAATTCTTTCAGTCATCTTCAGATTGACTTTTTTGTCTCTCTTCTCACCGTTCCAACTCCAGTTCGGACCATATCACCGCACTGTTGTATTACAAGGTCCTGTTTGGACTTGTTGCCCACTCTATCCTATCTTTCCTTTCTCTCTTCCATCTATTATGCAGATTAATCTTTTAAAACATTAACTTCTTCCTTGCTTCAAAGTTCCCAAATCAGGTTTAAAAAGCTTAGCCTGGCATTCAGGATCTTTGATAATCTTATTTTACCTTATAACCTTGTTCTTTTTCTACTGAAGTCAAATAAGCTTCTCATTGTTCCCTTCTTAGTTCATCTTTATCTTTATATACTTGCTTATGGTGTTCTTTCAACTTTCAATGGCTAGGAAATAATGCTTTTATTTTACCTCAGCCTTCACAGATTTTTGAATCTCATTTGACAAATGCGGCATCCTAAGAAATTCCATTCAAACAAAGCTCTAATTCGCTTGAGGTTTCTCAATGGTTCTGTTTAGTGGATAGCTAAAAAGCACGAATAGCACTTTTTAATTGCTAAATTTGAGAGTCATAACCTCAAATAAGTAAGATGTCTTGTCTTGTTTTTTTCATAGACACTTACAGCCACAGAGTGCCATTACACAAACCTACACATTGGGAGAGGAAGATCCTGATATGGTCAGGTCGCTTCAAAAAGGAAGATGAAATCCCAGAGACTGTCTCGTGAGTGCTGAACTTAGGGGTTGTAAGCAGCTTTTATTTCTCACTGATCCATTTCAAAGGAAAAACAGTTCCTTTGAGTCCCTATTGAAAACCTTTCAGCCAAATCCTAGAACAGTCTTAACTTCTCTAAATGTTTCCTCTTTGGCAAGTACCTGCAATAAAAACAGTGCTGGAAAATCCATGCCTTCTCATTGATATGTTATGTTGCACCTAGTGGAGAGCTGTCAAGTACTCAAAAGTCAACTGATTGATTTCCTCTCCTAGCTACAGAAATCTGACTAAGCAGTGATGTTCACTGTTTTTAGCTTGTTTTTAATCTAGGTCTATCAGTTAGGTATCACTGACAATAATTATATTCTATAAAATCCACCCAAGTATTCAACCAAAGGCATAACAGTATTTAAGAGCAACATATTCTCTTTCTGGGATCCCGGAAAGCGTGCTTCCTATCACCAAATTTCTTAAACCCAGCTGTGGCTGAGATCTTGGGACTTTTTCAGAGTCTGGAGATAAGTATAGATTCCTCTGACTCAGGGTTTCTCAATCCCCATGCTATCGACATTTTGGGCCAGATAATCCTTTGTTGTCGGAGGCTGTTGTGTACATGATAGGATGTTTAGCAGCATCCTTGCTTGGTCATCCTCCAGATGCCAGTGGCACTTAGTTGTAACAATGAAAAATGTCTCCAGACATTGCCAAACGTCCCCTGGGGGGACAAAACAAAACGAAACCCTGGTTGAGAACCACTGCTCCAGCCTCCTGATGTTAAAGACCCTGATTGGTTTGCATCTCAGCCAAGAGAGATTGTGAGAAGTAGATGCCATCTCCCCTGTGGGGCATCATCATCTTTACTGATAGGGAGTTGGGAAAAAAGCTCTTAGATGTTCCCTTCTAGCAAGAAACTATTCCTGGAACTTCTGGTTTTGGGTTCCAAGGCATGATTTTAAAATATCTGAGTTCATTCAGGGTATCTTTTCCCAGGAAGAGAAGTCTTACTTGCTTTTTGTTTACAATGGCTTTAACAGAGCCGTTCTACTTCTGTCTGTCAAATTAAATAGTACATTATTTTCACTAAAATTACTTCAGCAGGAAAGCCCTGGTCCTTCTTAGCTAAGATGACAGTGTACTCTCCTGGGAAATAAGAGCAAGTTGGAAATAAGAATGATGTTAAGTTCCTGCCTGTGTCTTAATTTCTTCCTGAATATTCCAGCAGGAAACAAGCTGGTGTATACCCATGGCCCTAATAGGTGCTGTGTAGACTTTGCCATGGAACACCTTCAGTCTGCCTTGCCGGTGGTTCCAAGATCCCCCTTAAGCCCAAAGTACTACCTAGTGAGTCACCATAGAATGCTCTTCTCTGGGCCTGAGCAAGGGTTCATCCTTGTGCTGGTAGTTCTGAACAGACACTGCCCACTCTGATTGCTTCTGTGGGATGGAGGGCAACCTCATGGCCTTATTTAAATGCATTTTACTCTTTTAATGTAAAATATTTTGAATGAAAAATTCTTGTAATGAAAAGTAAAATATGTTTCTTTTCATGAGTATCGCAGCACTTTAGATTGGCATATCCATGCCAATTCACATAAAATATTGTCAGCATGGGTAGTTAGTTTATGGTTGGTGAGCTCTCAGATGCTCTTAACAGAGCAATTCACTGTCCTTAGCAGTTGTCCCTGGTTCCTCCCACTGCCCTGCAGGCCCAGTTTCAGTGCCTAGAGAACTCCCTTCACACTGCCACCTCACTGGGTCCCAGCTCTTATATCACAGTGTGTATGCTTTCAGGGTTCTGCCTCCTGCAATGCCTGGACGCTGTGCCTCCTTCCAAGCATTTCTAAAGTATTTTTTTCCTCCTGATTTCAAAAGTACTGTGTATTAAAAATCTGGGGGGAAAAAGAGAGGAAGGAAGGAAGTTAGCACTCCCATCCCATCATCTGGAGATAATCACTTCCTATCTACATCCCTACTGAGTAGGCCATTGCTCTCTCTGGGGCCCATTTGGACTCTTCATACGCTGCCCTGAGTATCTACCAGGCTCATGTAATAGAACTGCAACTCACTGCCTCCATACAGAATCACAAAGGTGGAATGGCCTTCTCTTTAGACTCTTCCTTGTTAGGCGTCTTAGTTTTCACACAAGAATGATAATCCAACCCTCAGTGTTCTGTTAAGGCACATGGGTCTGTATTCAGTGGACAGGTTCAAAGACGTACTTGCCAAAGAGCGCAGTCTCAAGTTCACTGTCATGCGATTTTAGCAAAACATTAGTTAAAAGGTAAACATTAAGGAAGCATTGCTTAAAGGATCTTTCTCTGTTGCACATATTGTCTAGAATCTATTCCTGGTTCTAAATCTAAGTATTAGAAGTATTAGATTTAGATTATTAAATCTGTTCCTGGTTCAAGGCAGAAAGCAAAAACTTGGGTATAAAGAGCGCATTGTTTAACTCTCTCCCACGTTTGTTTTCTGTCTGAATTGTGATTCATGTTGAAACATATGAAACTCATGAAGCTCATTGCAGTATTTGTTGTCAGGATGTTGTTCAGACAATCATTATATCACATAGCATCTTCTTAAGAACCCCAGGGAGAAATATCTTCTGGTTTCACTTTTAGCATTGGCTGCTAATGTGAAACTTGAAAGCCAAAATTGGAGACGAGCATAGCAAGCATAGGTTAATACATTTTGCCCCTTTTTATTCCCCCTTTGTTCCTGGATCCACTTTCTGTCTTCACACTTTTTTTCTTTAAGTGTGTGCTATCTTGTTGGATTTTATATGTAAATTTAAAATGAGTTATGAAAACTCCCCATCCTCCCCCAAATCCTACAAGATTTCCAGGTCTCACATCTTTTTTATATTTATGGGTACCACTCCACTTTTGACTTGTCAGACGTAGAGCTTATTTCCTACTGGCAACTTCAGAAAGAGAAATGTTAACTGTCTGTCATGATCTCATTGTATTACTAGGTTTGAGATGCTTGATGCTGCAAAGAACAAGATCCGGGTGAAGATCAGCTATGTAATGATTGCCCTGACAGTGGCCGGATGTATCTTGATGGTTGTTGAGGGCAAGAAGGTGAGAGTGGACTTCCTCTCTGTCTCTGTTTTCTACAAAGGATCTAGAGGAAATCAGGGGTTGACCCTCATATTTAGTCTCTGCGAAGAGTTGGTTACTTTCTACACGAGAAATGATAAGAAACAAAATAAGACACAGTAGGGACAAACCTGGGCTATCCTGTCTGGGGATAAATAGCAAACCCTAACTTTGGCAAAGTGAAGGACTGAATTATTTTTGCATGAAGTAAACAAAAAAAAGTGGTTATCACAGATGTCATAAAAAATTGTGAAACAAGCAAAATGACACTGTTGTATCTAATGATGACACCTACATATCTATAACGCACTCCCGGTACATGGGCTTATTTATCCACACTCTAACTGCCTTAACCCTGGTGAGCATTCTTGCCACCATTCTTTACTTGAAGCTCAGCCACACTGGGCCATATGTGTAAGGACCATAGCTCCTAAACAGGTGCAAAGGTATTCAAGTCCAGAAATCTCTGTTTTAACGTACATCATTATTAATAGCTATCATTAATTGAGTATTCACTGTCTTCTAAGCACTTGGCTGTTCTTTCATTTGAACCTCAGAACAGCACAGCGGAATAGATACTATTATTAGCACCTTATTTATAGATGAGGAAACGCGGCTTAGAAAGCTTTGCTCACTTGCCCATCTCCTGAATGGCAGAGCACAGTTTGAATCTAGACCTGTCTAATTGAGGTTGATAGTAAAATTGCTCCCAATTATTGAGTCCTTATTATGTCACAGGTACTATTAAACTCACTGAATCACCACAATGCCCTGAGAACCTAAGCAGTGGTTCTCTTAGTATCCATACTTTATAAAAGAGAAACCTGAAGCTCAGAGCTATTAAATCACTTTCCCAAAGTCACATAGCTAATAAGTGGCAGGATAAAAATGTAGAGCCAACTTTTCAAGTTCCCAAACTCATAGTACTATCTTGTGATTAAAATATGTTTTTTTTTTTATATGCAGCAGGACTGGTCAAACCCCTATTTTAATACTATGTCTAATTTTATATATCACAACTTCCATGTGGAAAGAGATGTCTTATATCTATTATAAAATATTAAAAAGGTTCTTCTGCCAACCCAGTGATAACTGACTTCCTTATCCCCAGTGAGTGCAGAGTAAAAGGAAATGAACATCTGGCTCTCTTCAGACTCTTGGAATGGAAAATACTGACCATTTAGGCTGACCTTATGGGAGCATGAGGGACAAGTGTGCAGGACTAGGTGAAGTTCTTTCCAAGACATCTCTGTTCCTGCCCCACCTCAGTTTTTCTTCTGACTTCCTGTTTGACTTCTCATGCTTAGTTCTCAGATTGAAACCTGCAGAAGCATGTGGACAGAACATAGGGGCTTCTGGAATTCTAAGAAGTCTGTATTGGTTTTGTATACTTGATTATAGTAAGCTGAGTCTAAATACTCTAGAAACAAGTTATCCCCTGGGATTTCCTCTAGTGTCATCCTAGGGTATACGCCATGTACTTTAAGAGTTTCTTTTCTCTCCTTTATGTACCAGAAAGCCATTTCATTTGTTTCACATGGAACTATCCACTTCTTAAAAGTTGATAAATGCTACTGTAGAATGGAGAACTTTTAGACTTAATGCTATATAGAAGAGAGAAGTTAGCCATTGTATGTTCTGTCCTTACCATCAAGGTACCATTCCCATTCTCCTACCCCTTCCCATACCTAATTCTTTACATGTGAAATTACACAGAAGAAAATTCCACCGTATGTATAGGGTGCTAGTTTCACTTATTTGGTATAAAACTTCTGAAACTGGTCAGCTTATGTAAGCTTCACAGGCATGTAATAGGTCACGTGGAAGGAAACAAGGGAAGAGAACGGTTGCCTCTCCCCCACTGCTGTTTACTCCCACAGGTTGGAGTAGTGGGATAGATACTGGTGAGAGTCATCAGTCGTAGTATTTAGTAAAGTCTGGGATCTCCAAAGCTAAATATTTTTGGTAAAAGAGGAGTAAGGAGTTTGAAGGGTATGAAAATACACAAATGAGTTAGGATAGGAGAAATGGTAGCAACAAAAAAAAAGTGAAAGGAAAGAAAGGATAGAAATGGAAACAAAAAGGTATTAATACTAAAGAGAGAAAAAAGGGAAAAAGATAAGGGAATTAATTATAAGGGAAGAAGCTAGATTTACAGAAACATGCCAGAAAGACAGAGAAGGTAGAGGTGCAGATTTCTCTCATGCTTGACTGGATGGGCTACTGTACTGTGAAGCGTTAGAGGAAGCAGAAGGCACGGGGAGGATGTGTCTGTGCCCAATGTGCACACAGCAGACCATTGTGGGCATGCCCTGCCACAGTTAATCTATTGACATGAGTGCAGGGTAATGACATCCTCCCCAAACCCACACAAATAATCACTTGTTCAAATCTGTCTCACTTTAGGCTGTCAGAAGAAACGAGTCTTTAACAAGCCTGAACTTAGAAAAGAAAGCTCGCCTGAGAGAGGAAGCAGCTATGAAGGCCAAAACAGAGTAGCAGAGGTATCCATGTTGGCTGGCTTTTGAAAATGCAGGAATAATTTTGCAGCAATTAGCCTGTTATTAAGAAGAATATGGTATGAGGATCTGTTTCATGAAAGTATGGTTTACACAGACATAAATTTCTGCTGTAGTGGTACAAATAAATTTCCTTAAAAAAATGACCTGTCTATATTTTTGTGGCTTTGATCCAGGTTAAATGCAGCCTTTCACCTTTTTGGAGAAAAATCGGGCAAGTTATTTAAACTTTAATATTAACTCTTCTTTAGAGAGATGCCATATCTTACTTTAATTTTCATTACGAAAGTGATTTCTCTACAGAAGCCAAAATGGCTTCTAGTTCTGTATTTCTCGCTCATGTGTACTCATTTCCAGAGGGATAAGGAAAGCCAGCTCAGTATACTGCCCAGGGGCATCTTGGAGAGCTAACCTCCCCAAATATCATGGTGCTTCTGAGAGCCCTGGGAAGCAGCTAGATCACACTCTGCCATCTTCAGGCATGTTAATAGAGGCTTGTAGAAGAGCAGTCTTGGAAAAGGTCCTGGGAAGGTGATGAGAATGGTCTGGTCATGAGTTTCTGAGGACTCTGAAATCCCAGCACCATAAAGTTGCTTTGGGGCCAGCAGTCACCTCTTCTGCTGCATGGCTTAGAGTTCACAATTGGTCCTTTTCCTTTTGCCTTTACACTAAATTTCTCAATTACGAAAATCTATCAAATGCATATTCTTATTTATTAGTGTTGAAAGATAAGCATGTGCATCCAGGATGTATTTCATTTACACTTTACGATGCCAGCTGTCTCATATTTAGGTATGGATGCTGGTATTTCATATATTCTCACGTTTCATAGTATTAATGGATGACATGAATGACAAGTCCTCACAGCCATCCCAACCTGCTAGTTGTCTCTAGAGGATTGTAACAGAAAGTAATATATGCAGCTGTATTGGAACTTGATTTAACAAAATACTAAGTAAAATGTAATGCACCAAATATAATTTCATGATCTGATGATGTCTGTTGATCTACTTTATTTTAGAATAATTTGACCTTAATGTTTTAGATACCAAGTTGACTTTAATCTACTTATTTTAAAAATAAGTATTTTTCTTCATAGAACAATATCATTTTTAACTTCTAAAGTAATATTTTTTTTTAAATTTTTTTTTCAACGTTTATTTATTTTTGGGACAGAGAGAGACAGAGCATGAACAGGGGAGGGGCAGAGAGACAGAGGGAGACACAGAATCGGAAACAGGCTCCAGGCTCTGAGCCATCAGCCCAGAGCCCGACGCGGGGCTCGAACTCACGGACCGCGAGATCGTGACCTGGCTGAAGTCGGACGCTTAACCGACTGTGCCACCCAGGCGCCCCAAAAGTAATATTTTAAAGTGTTACCTTGGAGATTTACTGTAATAAAAGTTTCATTAAACCAAAATTCACGAATGTTACCATGCAGCAAGTATTCACATGATCATTTTTCATTTTCTGTCATTCTGTTATTCAGTAACTTTGAATACTTCTTTATGGGTTAAATATAAATTTCTTGCCAAGAATTTCAGACTTGTCCTTAACTAATCCCCATTCTCCAAGTACCCTCACACAATACCTTCTTGGCAGTCATACTCTACTAATAACTCTAATACCTTACATTCCTCAGAATTTGTCAGGCAAATCAGATTTTATGGGCACTATTATAAGATACTAAAGAATACAAAAAAAAATTAAGACTGCTTTGTCCTCTTACTTTCAATTATTGTATTATTTTTTGCTTAATTTCTAGATTTTCCCCCCATGTTTATCATGTCTCTGTAGGGAAAGTGGGAAGAAACCATTTTCCACTTTATATTTCCTAAAAGCCCTGTCTGACTAAAGTTAATATGTTAGCCTATGGTCAGATACTTTTAATCAACAAAAGTAATAGTATGGGGACTTAATTCCAAAAATGTGTTGAAAGCAGGCAAGGAGTGAATAAAGTGGTAGTGGTGGTGATGGTGGTATAATACATTGTCATTCATCATTAGTCCCTTATAAATACTGAGAATACAAAAATGAATAAAAACATACTTGACAGAGTTCATAATTTACTGGAAACATGGCCTGTGAAACCATTACAATACAAATTGGTAAAAGATATATTCTGAACTTTATAACAGAAGCTATAGGAAGGAACAAGAAAACCTAACTCAGCTGTCAGCTGTGATTGGAGTCAGGCAGGCAGTGATGGTCCACAAAGTGGTGATTTCTGAACCACGTTTGAAGCACAGGTAGGAGTTAGTAGGTCAGACACATAGTGGAAGAGAATATAGCCTCACCTCATTCAGACATTTAGCTTGCTTGATAAACACGAGGGCACATAAAGTAGTGAGAGGTTCTTCAGTAAAATGACATAATGTTTTGGTTTATTTTTAGTTTTTATCTTGATAAAAACTTAAAATTCTTAGACTCTCAGAGCAAACCTAACCATGGCTTATTTTTCCCAATTTATAGACTCGATTCCATGGAACCATTTCACGCCCCATCACATAGGCTATCACTTAAAGTGTGTGAGTAGCATCCATCATACATCTCCAATCCACCACTATCCCAGGCTTATGCTCTTATTCATCTATCTGATCTGCCAAATCAGAAACACTGGAGTTATTCCAAACTCCCTTGCTCTCCTCACTTAATAGTCATCCTATCTTGTGAACCTTACTTCTAAATATTTCTCAAGTACACTGATTCTCTAAAATACTCACTGGGAGGAACAGAATGGGAATCTGTTCAGGAAGAGACATAAGAGATTAATAACAGATTAAAAGTCAGAAGCCCTAGGTTCTAGACTTGTTTTTCCAGTTGTCTTGCTTTACAAATTTAGATTATAGGTCTGAAATCTTGTAAGACAATGTTAAAAAGAAATACAAAACTATGCCAAAATTAAGGGGAAACCATCTTTTTAAATAACTTTTTTTTTTTCCAGCTTGGCTCTACTACTTGATTTCTAAAGGGTTTAGTAGTTACTCATCCACAGTTTAATTGTTTTGTCATTTCCTAATGCTGCTGATGCAATGATGTTTTCTGTAGGGTGACAAGCTGCTGAGATTACAACATCTGTATGACCTTGTAATTTCTGTACAATCTCTTTAGTCTGAAGATTCCAGATGTAAACCAGATTATCTTCTGAACCAGATACAATCCACTTTCCACCAGTAACTGAAAAGTTGGCAAATATGCAGTATTTCTCATTCTTATGGCCAGTGTACGTTTTCAGGCATCTGCCTCTGCTGTAATCCCACAGTTTAAGAGTATTGTCCAAGGTTGCAATTAGAATATATTTACCATTTGGAGAAAATGTTACAAAAGAGACAGGAGGGTTATCATCATCAATAAGTGTTTTTAAACACTGACCTGATGCAGTATCCCAAATTCTACAGATACCATCATAGCTACCTGATACTATCAAGGACCCGCTACAATTAAAATGAACAGCAGAAACTGGGTCAGAATGAGCAGACAAAGTCTTGAGGCACTTTCCTGTTTTCACCTCCCATATCTTCACACTCTCATCAAAAGATCCTGAAATGATGAGATTAGATGGTGGGTTGAAATTACAGCAAAAAACGTAATTACTGTGCCCCTTTAGCGTTTTCAGACATTTTCCAGATCTCACATCCCAAATCTTTAGCGTTTTATCATCTGAGGCAGAAACAAGCCAACTGGAATCTGATGACCAGGCAACATCTGATATTTCCAGACTGTGACCATAAAGTGTTTTCTCATACTTTCCATCATAGGCTCCCCAAATTATAATTACTTTATCAGCAGAAGAACTTGCTAGCCATTCTCCATTAGGGCTAAATTTAACTGATGATACTGCTTCCGTATGTCCCACGAGAGTAAATTTAAGAGCATAGTTTGGTTTTTCAGACATTTGCTTCCTCCCGTTGGCTGAGGGAAGGCTCGACTCTGCTTCACCATCTCCTGCCTCCTTTGTCGCCATGGTTCTGAAGCTCCAAGTAGGTTGGGTAAGCGTCCGGCCCTGAACGAGGCAGCCCAATATTCCGACTTTCTGCCCAGCAAAATGAAGATAAAAATATGAGATTCAAAAATAAACCAGCTTTTAATGATTTTAATTTCTGGACGGTCTTTAAACTACTATATACAATGATACAGCAGCACGGCTTGGACCACGTCCCCTTTTCCTTGCTTCCTTTGTAAACAAATACTTGAGAAATACTATTAAAAGAGTGCTATGCGTCGTCAGCAAGTAAGGTATTAGTGTTGGGTATTTTGCGAACATATAAAGCCCTGCAAAGCAACGAGGGGCGTGGGTGATCTACACTTTTTCACAGCCCCTCCCTCAATTCCACAATGTCTGAGAACACTGAGCAAGCCTACCAGGCAGACAGACTTTCGGTATTTAAATAAGCATGAATGAATCAACGGCTTAAACAAGAGATTTCAGAAAGTAAAAAGAAAACCTGCGTAGGCACCACTACTTGCGACCCTGACGGTTGGCTATACGGTCCGCGTACAAACACTGTTGTGCACCGCCGCCTCAATCACACCCAGCTGGCAGGTCAGCAGAGCGCATGTGCACACCAATCTCCAGCCGCGGTGACCAATAGGAGAGGTCTGCCTGCACTTGCGCAAAAGGAGACGCCGGCGTTTCCTTCCGGTCTTCGCCGCGGTTGCCCCTCGCATACCTTTGACTACCTTTGGCGAGTGAGGAGGTGAGCGGGGCTTCTCCCAGACCTGACTGGCTAGCGTGGGTAGCAGCGAATATTACAAACAACATTCTTTTCATTTTGGAAACCGTGTCACGAGGAATGACTGAATTTTCCGATTCCTTAGCGGAAAAGTCAAGCCCGCATTTGGCACGTAGCCAACGTCGACCCCCCCCCCCCCCCCCCCAGACGCTGGTGACTGGCCAAGTTTCTGCTTTTCGGGTGGCGTCGGTTCTGCTCCTCTCTACTCGTGTGGTATAGAGCCTAGTGGCGTGTACGTAAAGCTGAAAATAGGCAAGGGCAGCGTAGCCGAATTTATGTCCAGATTATAAAGCTTCTGGTTTAAAAATTTTGCCGAAACGTTTGGGGAAGGATAGAGTATATGTTGTGGGCCTCCAAAGGCCAGTACTTAGCATGACATTGTGCGGGGGGGGGGGGGGGGACAGACGTTTGTTTTAGCACTTCCTAATGCCTTAAACTTTATAAGAAAACAGGTGAGCTCTGTACAGGTGCTTCAGACCGAAAATGACAGATTCGTAGAACGTGGTTAAGAAATGTATAAGGTTAACTCGTAATTGGCTTTAGAGGGTCAAAAGTTTAATGGCCTTGAAAGTGTGAGAGTGTTATGTAAACGATATATGCGTTTCAGATGTTAAGTTACTATCTTTAAACAAGAATAGGTGTACTGGGATACGTGGCTGGCACAATCAGTAGGGCATGCGACTCTTGATCTCTGGTTCCTGAGTTCAGGCCCCATGTTGGGTGTATACTTACAAAAAAAAAAGAAAGAAAAAAGTTTACCAAAAGATTGAAGCCTGTTGAATTTCTACTTACCTGTAATCTCCTAGTAAAGAGTGCTCAAGAGAGGCACTGTTTTCTTTACAAGGTTTTCCCCTCTGGCAAAGCTGAAGTCTAGAGGCAAGTTATCTTTTTTTTTTTTTAAAGCAATCTCTACGCCCATCGTTAGGCTTGACCCTTGAATTGGAGACAGGGGAGATCAAGAGTGGCTTGCTCTACCAATTTACGCAGGCGCCCCGAGGCGCAAGTATCTCTTAACGATGTTTTTGTCAGTCAACAGTTATGCATTTGCAAACAGGCTTCTATCTTGTATTAGGGATCATTGAAAGTCTAGCCTTTAAATAAGGCACAATGACATAATTAGATCACGTATAATAACCGAACATAGTAAAAACCTCATTACTTTAAGACCCTACGACTTAGTTTGGAATTTGGACAGGAATTGAACAAAAACTTTAGTCTTAGCTTGCGCAGGTTAATTGTATAAGGATAACAAGGTGCTGG